CAATTGCTTCAACTCTTCAAAGAACAAGCTTAAACGAGGGGTGGGAGCTCTGGGGGTGAATGGGGGCTGGCTTGGGGCGGATATGTTGCTTAAATAGGGTGTAGACCCCTGAAACTTAGGATTTCATCCAACAGCGGTGACTCGCCGAGTCCAGGATATGGACTCGCCGAGTCGCCAACTTAAATGTGTCCCGGGTCTCGTCCCTACTCGGCGAATCGAACCTATGACTCGCCGAGTCCAAGGCTTAAAAGGAAAAATACTCAATTAAGATTTACATACCAGAACTAGGCGCTACAAATAGTCAATCATTTTAACATAGCAATGGATGAGTTAAAGAAGATCAATGAAGAGGCTCATACTTGGGTGTGTAAAATCCCAACAAACACTTGCGATAAATCTCACTTTAGTGGTAAGTTTCTAGAAATTTATTGATAAATGTTAATCTTCCCTGTTGTGTGTTTACTATATGTGTAATTGTCTTCTATTAATATCTATTATTCAGGAAGGGCACATACTGATTGTTTGTTGAATAACCTTTGTGAGGTATTCAATTCTAAGCTAGATGAAGGTAGGGATAAACCTATTATCACTTGCTTAGAGTATATTAGGGAGTATCTCATGAAGAGGTTATGTGTGGTGCAAAAGGAAATAGATAAGTGTGAAGGAATTCTAACCCCTACTGCAACTACAGTGTTTGAAAAGATTAAGACTGATGCAGCTAGGTATGTGGATAAATATAATGGGGCAGGAAAGTACCAAGTGGCAAGCACATGGCAAGACCAGTATGTGGTAAACTTGAATGACCAAAGTTGCAGTTGTAGGTTTTGGGAGATTACAGGTTTCCCATGTAGACATGTTGTTTGTGCTATATGGGACAAAATTGAAAATGGTGAAAATGCCCCACATGTTGATGAATAGGTCCATCCTTGCTATAGGTTATCAACATGGAAAGCCATGTATTTCAAAAAAATTGATCCATTGAATGGACGTTCAATGTGGCCTAAAAGTGACTGCCCATTCACTTTAGTTCCACCAAAACATAAAACACAGGTTTGTATTTCAAGTAGACCAATTATATAGTAAACATGTGAACATGGAATGAATTCAATTTTAACTATAGTGTATCAATATGTGTAGGTTGGAAGGCTTAAGAAGAAGAAAAGGAGGGGTGTTGATGAGCCAAACAGCCAAGCTGGTAGATTGAGTAGGAAATATCTAACAGTCACTTGTTCTAAGTGTCATAACAAAGGGGACAATTCCAGAACATGTAAAGGGCAAGGAGGTAGTGGTGAAGTTGGAGGGGGCTAAAAAGTATTTTTAGTAGTTAGACCTGATGCTAGTGTTGTAGGTCTTTTGAAACTAAAGTCATGTGTAATTGTTTGAAGATATGTTAAGAACTTTTCAGGAATTGCATGTAATGCTTGTGTTGTAGGTCTTTTGAAACTTAAGTCAAGATTGTGTTGTAGGTCTTTTGAAACTTAGTATGATGGTTGTGTTAAGAACTTTAAAAATTTGCATGTAATGGTGTGTATGCTGTATGCATATTTTGGTAATGAATTAATCTGTTTTGTGTACTACCCTTCAGAGATCAATTAATAACATTGTACATTTCAGTTGCAAATCAAAACCATCTTCAATGAGCATTTACAATACACTTTACAATTGCATTTCAAAAACATTCAAGAAATTGAACAATCAACCATTACAAACTACATTCCATTACCATTACCATTACCACTCAATTACACATTAATCTGATACATAAACCAAATACAACAACACCTATGTAGGGGGTTTTGGAATTGGTGTTGATGAGCCAAACAGCCAAGCTGGTAGATTGAGTAGGAAATATCTGACAGTCACTTATTCTAAGTGTCATAACAAAGGGGACAATTCCAGAACATGTAAAAGGCAAGGAGGTAGTGGTGAAGTTGGAGGGGGATAAAAAGTATTTTTAGTAGTTAGACCTGATGCTAGTGTTGTAGGTCTTTTGAAACTAAAGTCATGTGTAATTGTTTGAAGATATGTTAAGAAATTTTCAAGAATTGCATGTAATGCTTGTGTTGTAGGTCTTTTGAAACTTAAGTCAAGCTTGTGTTGTAGGTCTTTTGAAACTTAGTATGATGCTTGTGTTAAGAACTTTAAAATTTTGCATGTAATGGTGTGTATGCAATATGCATATTTTGGTAATGAATTAATATGTTTTGTGTACTACCCTTCAGAGATCAATTAATAACATTGTACATTTCAATTGCAAATCAAAACCATCTTAAATGAGCATTTACAATACACTTTACAATTGCATTTCAAAAACATTCAAGAAATTGAACAATCAACCATTACAAACTACATTCCATTACCATTACCATTACCACTCAATTACACATTAATCTGATACATAAACCAAATACAACAACACCAATTCTAAAACCCCCTACATAAACTGAAAGCAAAAAAACCCCTATTTGATTAAAAAAAACCTGCAATGGTTACAAACCAAAAACCAAAACTCCATTACCATCCAAACCTTCACAAGATACTTAGAGATTAAAATAATACCAAAAAAAAACACCCATGAACAAAACAACATCAGCTGGTAGCTCCACAATTCTGCACTTGCAATGATAACCCTCTCTTCCAATCGGTTCAGTGATCTTATCAAACCTGGAATCACCACCAATACCCTAGCACACACAGGAGGATTAGACCATCGAAGGAACCCACATCTTGTACAATTCAAAAATTATCTTACAGGGTTACGATCCGTCCATGAAGTGATCTTCATTGCTTCATTCCCACATCTTCAAGTCACCATCTTTGAATCAGAAGTGAATGGATGTCGTGAAGGGTGCAACGGTCGAGCAACATTGGAAGGGTTAAGATAGATGACGATTGATAAAGGTAAAGGGTTTGCCCAAAAATTGGACATGCAATTTCTTTTAAAGAGAAGGTTACAACTGAAATGATGAAATTACCCCTGCTATATAAAATTAAAAAATGAGTTAACGGTGAAATGCTAACGGAGTGAGCCTAAAGGACCAAATGTTAAAAGTTTTGAAACCACAGGGACCATCTGTGAGGTTTTTTAAACTTAGGGACTAAACTTGATATTTTTGAAAACCACAGAAACCATTTTTGTAGTTTTGTCTAAATGTAAAGTTTATGTTACAAAAATAAATGTAGTAATTACGTGAACGTTTTTAAATGAGATCACGTGACAAAAACATGTAATGTGTAATACAAAGAAAAAGAATACAACTATATACGAACCAAACTTTATGAATGTGTATTGGTTTATTTATACTATATTGAAAGTGTGGAACAATATAATAAATTAAAAAGAGCCTTAAATTAGGTTTTAGGCTTTTAGCCAATGGTAGTAGTTTTAAAGAACGTAAGGTGCAATAACAAAAAATTATATATATGGACCAAATTTTTACATGCATTACTTTATTCACATTACATTGAAAGAGCGGAACAATGAAATAGATTAAAGAGAACCTTAAAATTGATAAATGATTTTCAAAGACAAGTCTAGCAAAAATAAAAAAACCAAAAAAGGAATCGACTCTGCTGGGGATCGAACCCAGAATCTCTGGTTCCGTAGACCAGCGCCTTATCCATTGGGCCACAGAGTCTTTTTGTGTTTCGTAATGAATTATTTGACAATTATAATATTATGATTATTTATATATTTATTCTTTTCTTTTTTATTTTTAAAACAGCGGCTTAAACCTACATTGTAAATCGTCAAGGTCTCATCTCATATCTGTTCCGAACAACTAAACCCGTTATCAATTATTATATGTCTAGCATGCGGACTGTTTGGAAACACAACGGCGCTGGATAAGAAGGGCGCACGTTATAAAAGCCTTTTCATCGCATCCTGGCGCAAATTAGGGTTCATCCTCACTCGTCCCCTTCTTCATCACGATCAATCGTTTGCTTCTCTCACTCTCTCTCTCTCATGTAAACTAACACCTACGATCAGTCACTGAGCAACAACCTTAACTTCTGTAAGTAATTCATTAATCCCCCAGTTTTCTTTTACTACATTGTCGTTGATCTACTTTGATATTAGGAACATGCTTGGATGGGAACTATTTATATGCAATTGGGAATGGTATAAATGTGGTTTTAACATTAATGGAGGGCCACGTGATCTTAGCCATTGTTGAAAAATAATTAGGAATTTAAGAAAATTTGGGGAAAATCTAAGTAATGTACTCGTTTTGTCCATGGAAATTGCTAGCATTTACCATTTAACAAGTACGTTTTACGAATCATTCTATTAAAATAAAATCTATCCGGAACTTATGATCAATATCTGTAGTTTAGAACAACAATTTCATGATTTTCTTCAGAGACGAACTTTAATTTTGCTAAAGGAAAGCTTCTAAAGAAGGAATCCATGGAAGTTTTATAACCAACCGTTTGAACTTAGTGGCTATGGCCTCAAGAGTGCTTGTTTATATCCTTTGTTTCAAGTTGAATTCTGAAACAAATGGAAAAAATATAGTCAGCAAATGTTCATTAAAATATTACCAAATGGTGCATATTCTTTTATATCAATGAAAGGTTTCTTGCTTGAAAACAAAGTAATTCAACATGAACACTTAAAAAGAAAATATTTAACCATAGTGGTTGTTATAGATTATCTATAGTGTTATTTTGGTATCTAAGGCTCCATTTGTTACATAGGACATGACATAACAGACAAGCTTGTACTCTGAGACTGAGCCTGATGTCAATAGGACAAAAATTGCAACTTTCTTGTCCCACCTAAGACATAGAAATATTGAATGACCTCCTCAACCCCATCATTAGAAATAGCCCTAAAAAGTCTGTCCAGTCTTGTGTCCCACTGTCCTGTCTAATCTTATCCACTCAAGTTCTGTTCTGTCCTGTCAAATCCATTTCACATTACTTGTTTTATTGAAGGATCAAATGGCAAACATTTGAATTGACATTCATCAACAAACTACAAACAACTATCAACCATGATGTCTGAGGATCCCGAACATCTGTTAGTCGTGTATGATGACCACTCAGATCAACGCTCCTTATCATTAGATGAAACAAGTAGCACAGAAGAATCACCAAACGAAACCAAACTATCCTTAGAAACAACAAACGACACCATTCCATACATCGGGCAACGATTCGCTACACACGACACCGCATACGAATTCTACAGCGAATTCGCCAAACAATGCGGTTTTTCAATCCGTCGCCATCGCACCGAAGGTAAAGATGGTGTCGGGAAAGGTCTTACGCGACGCTATTTTGTCTGCCATAGAGCGGGCAACACTCCTGTCAAAACTCTAAATGAAAATAAACCACAAAGAAACCGAAAGTCCTCAAGATGTGGATGTCAAGCTTATATGCGTATAAGCAAGACCACTGAGTTAGGTGCACCTGAGTGGCGGGTAACCGGGTTTTCAAATCATCATAACCATGAACTTTTGGAGCCTAATCAAGTTCGGTTTTTACCCGCGTATCGGACGATATCAGATGTTGATAAAAACCGGATATTAATGTTTGCAAAAACCGGGATCTCAGTGCAACAAATGATGAGGCTTTTGGAGCTTGAGAAATGTGTGGAACCGGGGTACCTTCCGTTTACTGAAAAAGATGTGAGGAATTTGATACAATCGTTTAGGAAGGTGGATTTGGAGGATGAGAGTATTGATTTATTGAGAATGTGTAGGAATATTAAAGATAAAGATCCTAATTTTCGGTTTGAATTTAAGCTTGATGCAAATGGGAGGCTGGAGAATATTGCGTGGTCGTATGCGTCATCGGTTCAGTCATATGAAGTGTTTGGTGATGCGGTTGTGTTTGATACAACACATCGTTTGAATGCTTTTGATATGCCACTTGGCATTTGGGTTGGAATGAATAATTATGGTATGCCTTGCTTTTTTGGATGTGCACTTTTGCGTGAGGAAAACTTGAAGTCGTATTCATGGGCTTTGAAGGTAATCAAATGATAATTTTCGCATTTTACTTATGGAAATTTTTTATCTCTTAGGGGCTGTTTCCTTTTTACTTAATGAGCTTAATGGGTCAAAGGCTTAATATGGACAGAATGACTTAATGGGTTAAGCCAATAAGCCTGGCTTAATGTATTAAGCGACTAACCCTTTACAGCAACTCCTCACGTTAGAAATGATAAATTTTGTTAAAATTGATGAATAATGTAATATTTGTTTTTTGGAATGTAAGGGTAAAATGGTCATTTAGCCTCGTTCGGACAGTTTATTCAGTCCAGAAAAGTAGCAATCACAGTTTATCATGACAACATCATTGCCCATTCAGTCACTTTACCCATAAAGGGCTTAATGATAAAAAAAAAAAAAAAAAAAAAAAGAAACAACCCTTATTAGTTTCTAAATTAATTATTTTTATTTTTTGAAAGGCGTTTTTGGCGTTTATGAATGGGAAGGTCCCACAGACAATATTAACAGACCAAACATTATGTGTAAGAGAAGCAATCGCAGCCGAAATGCCTGCTGCTAAACACGCTTATTGCATCTGGCTAATAGTGGCAAAGTTTCCATCTTGGTTTAATGCTGTGTTGGGTGAACGATATAACGAGTGGAAAAATGAATTTTATAGACTTTATAATTTGGAGTCGATTGAAGATTTTGAAATGGGTTGGAGAGACATGGTTAATTTGTTTGGGCTCCACACTAATCGCCACATCAACACGTTGTTTGCCTCAAGAAGTCTTTGGGCTTTGCCTTATTTGAGAAGCCATTTTTTTGCGGGAATGACAACAGCTGGACACTCAAAAGCTATCAATGCTTTCATCCAACGATTCTTGAGTGCCCAAACTCGACTTGCACACTTCATTGAACAAGTATGTTCTCTTTTACTTGATCTTATATAATCTTTTTTCATAGGATAATCTTTGATGGTATTATACAAACACAATGCAAAATCAGGTAGCTGTTGCTGTGGACTTCAAAGATCAAGCAGGTGAACAACAAACAATGCAACAAAACCTCCAAAACATCTGCTTAAAAACCGGAGCTCCAATGGAATCCCATGCAGCTTCAATCCTAACACCTTTCGCATTCTCAAAGCTCCAAGAACAACTAGTAATGGCAGCTCATTACGCATCATTCCAACTCGAAGACGGGTTCCTAGTTAGACACCACACGAAACTCGAAGGAGGGAGAAAAGTCTACTGGGTCCCACGTGAAGGCCACATCAGCTGTAGCTGCCATCACTTTGAGTTCTCGGGAATCCTTTGTAGGCATGCCCTTCGAGTTTTGTCAACCGGGAATTGCTTTCAGATTCCGGAAAGGTATATGCCACTTAGATGGAGACGTGTTAATGCATCCGTGAAGGTTTTTCAGAATAGTTTGAGTGATCATGGGGAGAGAGTGAGATTATTGGAAGGAATGGTGTCGAATCTTGTGGCGGAATCGGCTAAGTCCAAGGATCGGCTCGATATGGCGATGGAACATGTTTCGGTTTTGTTGGAACGGATTAGAGAGCACCCGATTCCGGTTCCGGTTCCGGCTTCACGGTATGCGAGAAATGATGTTTTTACATAGGGTTGTAATGTAGAGTGTTGCTTTTTTAGTTCATATTTTTAGAAGCCATGTAGAAATAGGAAAAAACTTTTGAGATTGTTGCTTTTTGTGGATTGTTCATCGGAGGTTTTGTTGCATTCGTTACTCTATGTTGTCACCATTTTGTTCCAAAATCCTTATCTTAACAACGTCGACCCAATAATGTGAGTTGTCTCCTAACTGTAAGTATGGAGGTGAAAATCAATAACTGGTGTCTCATATTGAGGTTCAATTCTGAGACATGGTGATCTACCTTTAGTATGTTGGCTATGGGATTGTGATTTACCTTTACCATGTTGGTTATGAGACTGGTTATTTACACCCATTCACACAACTTGGAAGGATTTGTCAACAACACAAAAACTTCTACAAAACAAATAAGCTTATGGACAAAAAAGTTTGTGGTAGTAGATTGACTATGACATAAAATAGTGAACAGCCTGGAGGAACTTTAACATTCACGTATATGATTGGCTGACATAGAATATAGGAATCCAAATTAAAAAGAAAAAACGTTTGAATATGTGCAAAGTAAGGACAAGAGTAACCAAGAAGCTACTAAAGAATTTACAACCGAAAAACAAGTAATAAAGAGAAGAGAAATCAATTGTGGAATCATAACTTTATAGGGCTATTTTTTATGACGAGGACAAGAACGACTTTTCTACAAATGAAATATAGCGAACGGATACTTTTCCCATCATACTCCATCGTTTTGGGTGAGACAAAATATTACAAATTTTGTTTATTTGACATAGTCCAAGTCAAACACAGTAACACAGTAACTTGTGAGTCCCAGTCAAACAAAATACCTGTCTGGCTTGTCCTAAACCTAAGAGCTCAAAAAGTTTTATGCATCACGACTATCCAAGAAACGGACAACGACTACTGTAATATTATCTGCACTACCTCTCTTTGAAGCTTCCTGCATCAGCATCTTTGCCGCGTCTTCGGGGCTCTGAATCGGTTTAATCATCGCAACCGCTTCATCATTAGTGACGACATCCCAAAGTCCATCACTAGCGAGTATAAGAAACTCAAGCGACTCATCAATCTTTTCTTCTTCGATTTCCGGATCAGCAACCACAAACTGTTTCAATAACCTATCACCAAAAGCACGTGAAACCGCAAGAACACCACCAACTCTCCAAGTCCCTGCCCACATAACAAAACCCCCAGCATCTTCAATCCTTCTTCGTTCATCACTTTGATCCGGTTTATGATCTCTGGAAACAGCATACGCGTTACCACCCCTGCAAATAACAGCTCTGGAATCCCCCACGTTTGCTACAAGTAAACGGGTACCAACGATAATGGCAGTGGAAGCGGTTGATCCTGCATCTCTCATCTGATTGTTTTCTGATTTTAAAAATTCTTTGTCGGTGTCACTGTATGCTTCGGCTATGGCTGATTTGGTGTCGGAGATGAACTTTGGATGTTTGAGAAGATTGGTGAAAAGATTGTGTTTCACAAATTCTGCAGCTCGAGCTCCGCCATGGCCATCAAAGACTCCGAAGAGACCGACTTTCTTTCCATTCACACCTTCAATTCTTGTCTCGTAAAAATCCTCCATTGAAGATCTCTTTCCGGGGGAGCTTGCGTAGCCATAGCTAAACTTTGAATCTTGGCTGAGACCACCTCCGGTGACCGGAGAAACACCACAACCGGGAAGATTTGGGTTGGCGGATGATATCACTGAATCAAGATACCCCATGATTGATTTGTGTTTTTTGAGTGGATCAGATTTCCTGAGAAGATTGTAAAGCAAGAAAACTCAGTTAACTAATCAAGTGAATTTAAATAGAGAAAAGAATTGAAACCCAACCAGAATGGTTAAATTAATTTCGGTTTTGTTTTTATAAGGTGATAAAATTACAGTTTCGTGTCGAAGTAAACAAGCTGTTGACTTTTGAGGTCGGTTTGGAGGAAAAAGTTAATACTACAAGTTTACAACATTGAATACGCAACAAAATATATATCAGCAATCAAGAAATCTTACGAATCGTTTATCTTTAATGGTCATTTACACACAATTAGGTTTAGATAACCTTGGAATAGTATCGAGTCAACAACAATACCATCGATTTGTTTTCTGTGCAGCGACTTTGAATTGATTAAGAAGGAAAGGATACGAGATTACGAGTGTAAACTTAAAAAATAAATAAATAAATAAATACCTTTTCAAAGATCAAAACTTTAATTCGGTCAATCTACCGGGCGTAAGTCTGAACGAATTTAAGGGAAACGAATGAATTTTTGGCTGAAAATCCGTCGATTGGCAATGCAATATATACACGCACATAAATTCCTTACTCGTTTACAGAAAGTAATTGTAAAATCTCTCTAGAGATTCGAAGAGAAGACGATTGATCGACGAAAGTTCAATTGAGAATCTATGAAATTTGGCTCCAGCGAGGTCAACAAGTTTACGATTTGCACCCTTCTACTTTACCAATTGTTTTAGTTTGAACCCTTTATTACTCTACTCAAAATATATAATTACTTGAGATCTATCTTAACCCTTTATTACGCTACTCAAAATATATAATTACTTGAGATCTATCTTACAAGTACTTATGTTAATGCCTGACTCGAAATTTGATTATTCGAATAATTCGAAATAAAGTGAAAAAACCTCATATGAAATATTGATGGGATAAATATTTACACTAGGCTTATGAGTGATATGTCCTAAGCCTTACCCGAAAAATATACATCACACTGAGGTAGAGTTTTTATTAGATTTTAACTTTTAGTTTTTAAGAAAAAGATTTGTTCGGAAGAAAAAATTTGAACTTTTAGTTTAAACAAAATTTTTTTTAATAACAATTTATATTTTTTTTAAATATATTTGAAAACTTTTAACTTTTAGTTTTTATATTTTATGTTATTTAAAATCTGAATTTCCATACAAATAAAAGAAAATTTCCATAACTATCAACTTCCATATTGTTTTACCTTTCTATATGTTTAGTAGGTTTAATCACAAATATTTATATTGTTGGGGGAATATTAGTAGGGTGATGGTGGAGAATCGGATTCCTTATGTATCGTGTAAGGTCACTTTTTGAACTGATATTTCCACCATATACTCGAGTTACACAAAATCCAATCCAAGATAATTCAAAAGGACACTCATGAATCTGGGCACAGAAATATAAGCCAAATTGCAAGAGAGTTTTGAGTTTGTTTAAGAAGAAAAAAAGTTGAGAAATGTTATTTGACGGCTCAATAGAGGAGCCGTAGTTATTCATGACAAATTAGAGTTTCTATCTTCTAAATTAGTTAGAGAATCATGAATTTAATGGCTTAATGAATGGTTTTCAAAACTAACAAGATTTGTCAATCCTACTATAATCACTCGTTGGAATTCAGATTTTCCATAATGAAACTAGTTCAAATTTTCAAAGACTGTTTGGAGCACTCCCCAAACCCACGGGGCCACCGCCAGGTGTCTGCCCCTTGGACCCCACCAGGAGTGCTGCCCCTTTGACCCTAGAAGAGGGCATGACCCCTTGGATCCCCACCAATCATTCGTATCGGCTCATAAAATGTAAAGTGAATATATATATATATATATATATATATATATATATATATATATATATATATATATATATATATATATATATATATATATATATATATATATATATATATATTCACTTTACATTCACCGAACATATTATATAAAATACAAATAAATAATTTTAGCTCACATATTAGTTCCAATTACAAAAAATATTTGTTAACAATGATATCACCAACATATATCATGTCATGTTATTAGAAGTAGGCTTTATAAGTCTAATCATTTATACACATTTAGTAAAAAATTAAAAAACTGATGATTATTAGATATAATTTTTGGCATTCACTTTTTGATATATATTTTTTGGTATAAAAGCGAAATTATAAAGACCCTTGAATTGAGACGAAAACATCGCAATCCTAGGAGCCACAATTGTGTCGATTGATTATTTTATTACAATTATTTTTGAAAATTGGTTAATACACATCGAACTTTGTGACAAATAATTGAGACCCAATGAAATGGTGTATTGTACGATATCATTTGTATCGTATCAAATGCGCAAACGATCGTACAAAAAGTACAAACTATTGTCATATACTATAAGATATTAATTGTCACATAACAGATTCATTTTTATTTGTATCGATAATGTTCATATAGGTTTTAAAACAATAACAAAAACAATTTTATCTTATAATATTAGATAAAGTACAAGGTAATAATACGGTTAGTTTTAAATTATATATGATTCTGGTCAAATTGAAATAATCAACAAATTATTAAAATCGTTGAGTTTTTTTATTTTTTTATTTGGCACTTTAGAATCATTTATAGTTTTATACATTCGCACAACAGTTTTTTCTATATTAATTTTTTTTATATTAAATTAATTCTTTATATATATATATATATATATATATATATATATATATATATATATATATATATATATATATATATATATATATATATACACACACACAGTGACGGAGCTAGATGGGTCGTTGGGGGTACTACAGTACCCCCGAAAAATTGTTATATATATAATATTATTTGTAAACATGTTTCATGTTATTGTACCCCAAATAAAGAGATTATAACATGTTTTTTATTGTCCTATATTGGATAACTACATATAATATATATTCATAATGTTTGTATCCTTATATTAAAATTTCTAGTTTCGCCACTGCACACACAGAGTGAGATTCAAATATTTCCAACAAATATTGTGTACCTAAATGCACCAATCAGAAATTAAGAAAAATTAAATGATTATTAATTAATATAAGGATATATAGTAAATATTTAAACCATTTAATATCCCTTTAATTTAGTAAAATCAGTGAGTCGAATGAAGACTTTTAATCTGTAAGAATATGTATGAATTTGTATTTAAGTTCGGATGTATAAGAATATATTAGAATGTTGTTATTTTCAACCTCGGATTCAAGAATGTTTTTATTCTCCAATAATATTCTAACAGAATAAAATTCTGAAAGAACATCACTCTAACAAAAAAAATATAATGACAGAATAAAATCGGTTATGTATACAAATTACGTTAGAATTAAAATTAAATTAATTAAAAAAATTCAGATTTTTAAAATTAGGAGAATTAATTATCCCTAAAAATACGAAAATTTTCTTTTATAAATGTAGTTAATTGTCCAAAATACAATTTTGCCAAATTTTGTGTGATTATATGGTACATGTTATCCCATTATAATATCATACACCCTCAAATCATGTCCACTGATTAATTTCATCCGTTGGTCCAGATCTGTGTATTCCGGCACACAATAGATAGTAAAAACAAAATAACCTAAGCTTATATATATATATATATATATATATATATATAGAGAGAGAGAGAGAGAGAGAGAGAGGTATGTTCAAATGTGAATGAACAAATATTGTGTGGATGTAGGGATTAATATAGGTTAAGTATTATTTAATTTTAATAAATAACTAATTAAATCATCTACCCTTTAATTTATGCAAATTACTTTATTTAAAACCCTATTGCCTCTGCAATCGACACCTAAAAATGTCTTCCTTCTGTAGCATATAAGTAAATCTTCCTTTTGTTTCAAAGCTTCTCTGTAAACTTGAAGATGTCTGTAGCGTGTCATCAAATGTCTGCTTTTAAGAGCTCTACTTCGTTAAGGAATTACTCTCCTTTACAGTTTATGCACTTGAATTCGACGAACACTCGCAATAGGTATACATTACAAACCCTACTTTGTTTGTTATGGCCGATTTTAAATTTATTATATTTTAAAAATGCTAGTTGTGACAAAAATCATTAAACCGTATATTATATTTAAATTTATTCATAAGTACAATGCATATAGAGGCCATTGAGACAACTGAGATTATAGAATTTTAAAAGATGTCTACACTATCATATAATTCAAAACAAACAATGTTTATACCAACGTATTCTAAGATTTATTATATGAGAGTTAACAACAACATCATTGATATATTTAAAAAACATATATTTGTAAAGATTTCAAATATATTGTTGTATTCTGCGCAACACGCATGTATTCGCCTAGTTATACTTATAAATGAGACATTTTTCCAATCACCTCATGTATTTGAAACCCCCACACAAATTTCCAAACACCTTATGCATTTGAAATCCCCACACCTTTTCACCTTCAAACTAATTACTCAGACATCATGCTTTTATATAACTGAAAATTTGAAGCTACAAATGGAACTATAGATGGTGAACTTAGAGCATGACATGAAGGAACAATCGATTTTGCTCCTACGTACTTATAAATATGTTTCCACTTCTGATGAAAATTTGGCAACAGTGATGAAATAAATCCTGCTCTTGCTTGGTAATTAAATATTTTTATATTATTCATTTCATACCTTCCGCTTTGTTATTTTGCTCCTGCTACGTGGTAATTAAATCCCTTTATATCATTCATTTTATAACTTCTCTCATTTAGTTTGTACAATTTCAAATACTCTAAATGGATTATGAATATATGACAGGTGTGATAGGATAATATGGACCGGGGATGAAATAAAGTAGATACTATACCTTAGAAATGAATCCAAGTTGTCCGATCATCGACCTGTGAAGGCGATATTTTCTACCGAACTTAAAGTCTCAAGATAGAATATCAAAACATTTGCATTTTGGATAGGTTCCA